AGAGAAGCTTCAGCTGTCCCCCTCAAGGCAGCCGGATGGACAGGGCAGGAGGGCCTGCCTGCCTTTCAGGAGGGTGAAGGCTCACGATGTCTGAAGCTCTTTACCATGTGCTTCTCACTTTCTGTCCGTCTGCAGAGAATCTGGACGAGACCAGAGAACAGAAAGAAAAGAGTCCTCCAGAGCCCCCTGCTGCCCCCCACACCCCCCCCAGCACCCCTGTCAAGCTTGAGGAAGGTGAGCTCTGGGGTGGACGTGAGCATGTGGCTGCCCCGCTGTGGGAGGGTGCATGGCCTTCTGTGGTCCGATGTCCGCCATGAGAGGTGGATTTCATGTCCTGTCCAGTGGAGGGAGAGCACCCGGGTGTCAGTAGCTGAACGGACAGTGGTGAAGGAGCGAGCATTTGTGTGGAAGCCAGCACGACACATGGTTCTGAACTGGCCCGCCTCCCTTGCTCCTGTTTTGGTTCTGTCCTGGGTCACTCGAGGCTACACATTTCGTAGTGAGACATCAGGACAAAGTGGGAGGACAGACTTGGGGGATCGGATCCCACCTTCGTTTATGATGCCAATTTTGCCCACTGCTTACGCATTTCTCAAACCTTACTGTGTCCAGATCACCCCTCTGGAAACATCTTCCATTGTGTCTGGGCTGCAGGACCTTGTGTGACCTGCCGTCGTAGTCAGTCCATGCAGAGTGCTGGCCTCCACTGGCCTCTCAGACCACCCACTGCGTGTCTGTCCCTTGGTCCTACATGTCGTGCTTCCCGTGCCTGTGGGGAGCCTGTGGCTCGCCTTCCTCCCCCGTTTGTCCCCAAGAATGGCTCAGCCATTCTTCTTCTATAACCCAGTGGCTGTGACTGAATGCCTAGATTCTCTCCCTGTGCTTTTCTCTTCCTGTGGCTGCGTTACAAACAGGAGTTGGATGTGCTAAAGAGTACCTGTTACCATAGTAAGTACCGCCCTCGTCTGGCCCTCTGCCGTTTAACCAGTGGTCCCTGTGCTTTGCCTCATTCTCCTGCTTCTTTGTTGCTTACCAAGTTCTGTTCTCTGTTTATTCAAAATAAAAATAGAGTCCCTGCCCCCCCACCCCCCACTCTGCCTTTCTTGTACTCAGTTCCTTCCACCTAGGCAGTGGCATCTTGGCAGGGCTCCGTGGCCGGAGAGCTAGGTGGTGGCAGCCTGCCCTGGGGGCTCCCGGGGACCGAGGCGGTGCTGCTCAGGGCCCTGTGGGTTCCAGGAGTTCCAGAGCCGTCCTGTGGTCCTGCTCAGCATGTGATCGCTCGGCAGCATCAGACACACATCAGACTAGGTTCAGGCAGGGGGAGGATTTTGCCTCGTGCTGCATGCCGGTCGCTTCTGTTGGGATCTTGGCTTAAGCTGAGCACTTAAGCGTAATTGGGGATGGGGCAGGAGACTCTGGTGCTGTATTTAATGTGACATTTGGTCACATGGTAAAGTTCCCAGAGGCACCCACAGGCCACCTCTGCGTGCTCTGTAGGGTGAACGCTAACTTCCTCCTATCCCCCTAAGTAAGGACATTTAATTGTTCCGGGATAGAAGGTGGCTCAGGGGCCAGCTGGGGCGGCCCCAGCCTCCCAGAGCTGAAGCACTAAGTGTTTGGGGCCCAGAGCCTCCCACGGCTGCACCTCAACCACACTCAGCTCTGAGTCCCCCCTGACGCAGGGCTTGGTTTCTCTGTACTAAATGGTTTAGTGTTGCCTAAGCAGCAAGTCGCTCGTAACTCTGTAGGATGTTATAAAACTCTGCAAAACTGGTTTCCCCCCGGTCAGAGTCTGCATAGAGATTTGCTGATGGGACCTTCCCCAGAAACCCACCCTCGGGCTGTGTCTTTACAGCGAGTTACCTTTTGCCCTTTCATGTTCCCATGTTCGAATGCTGAAGCTGGCCAGGTTTTTGCCCCTGTCCCTTACCTTACAGTTCTTCTCTTTTCTTTCATTCTCCAGCCTACAATGGCTTTGTTTTGTTTGATGTTGATAGTGCCCATGGGGTCTGGGAGTTAACCATGGTTTTCCATGGTTTTCTTCTTGGGGGAGACCAGGTGTTGTGGGACCCAAATTTAGGCCTAATTTCAGGACTACTAATACGTGCCCTTAGGGTTCTAGAACAGACTGTTGGAGTGTTAAACGTGGAACATGGTCCTAGTGCAGTGCCGTCAGCTCGCCCAGCTCTCTGACTGGGGCCCGAGGTCCCAGGACGGCATCTGGGTCTGTCAGCACACTGTCCACGAGGAGGAGCTGAACCCCCCACCCCCACCCCCCTGCGAGGTTGCGTCTTCGTTTTGTACCCTGAGCCACATCCAACCTTGAAGTAGAGTAGACCTGATTTAAAGTTTCTTGTTTTCGTGTCGGTAAAAGCCCCTAGAGCCCAGCCCCGTGGCCGTCTTGGTGCGGGCGCTGCCTCTCTCGGGGCGCCCCGCTCAGGTCCGGGGACTGCTCTTCAGCACTGTCTCTCGTCCCCCACCCACCAGACCTGCCGCAGGAGCCCACCTCTGGAGAGGACAGTGATGCTGCCACCTTCAAGCCGACTCTCCCTGACCTGTCCCCTGATGAGCCTTCAGAAGCGCTCGGCTTCCCCACATTGGAGGAGGAGGAGGAGGGGCTCGGTGAAGCCCACGAGCCTCACAGCCCCGCCAGGTCCCCCGTGGCGGCCAGCCCTGAGCCAGCCTCCGCCCAGGTGGCAGAAGAGGCCACCTCCCCAGCTGCAGAGGAGGGGGCTGCCGTGGACCCTGGCAGCGATGGGTCTCCGGGCAAGTCCCCTTCTAAGAAGAAGAAGAAATTCCGCACCCCCTCCTTTCTGAAGAAGAGCAAGAAGAGGAGTGACTCCTGAAGGCCCGTCCTGCACACACCGAAGCCACCAGACTGCCCCCGATTGCGTCTCGTGTCCTGTCTTCCTGTGTCATGGAATGCAAAAAGCCCATCCCTCCTCATAGCTAGAGCTCCCCTCATGGTGTGACCAAATCCCCACGTAGCCCGGTGCTAACCTCGTGTGCGCGTGCAGCGGGCCTCAGCCTTGGGGGCTGGGGGGACACGTCTCCGCGGCCCCTCTGCCTCCGCCCGCCCTGCCCGGGCTAGCACCCCGCGGGCGCGCTCTCCCCCGGGGGCGGTCCGTCCTGGTTCTGGCCGGACAGTTGGAGGCCCTGGCGGCTCTGGCCTTGCCCTCCCTCTCCTCCTGTGGTGCAGTCCCCCATGCTGTGTGTCTGCTAGGCTCCCCTTCACCCCCACGTCTCAGGTGACTGAATCAGACTTGGAGCTTCCTGCTGGCATTACCTGCTTCGTGATCTCACTTGGGTTGTAGCTACAGAACCTCAGTCCTGTGCGAGCACTCCTGTGCCTGCCGGCGGCCCCGGGCACCCTGACGGCCTCTGAGAGCCGGGGACCCAGCAGCAGAGGGGCCTGCGTACACCCCACGTGCCCTGTGCATGGTCTGATGGCCCTGAGGCCAGAAACGGGGTTCAGAGGCCCCCACTTTCTTACTGGGGTCTCTAGATTACTGTCATAGAGAAGATACATTAAGAGGGGGAAGAGTCCTTTCTAGAATTTTCCTTCAGCAGGTTTGTAATTCACCCTCCATCTTTGACCATGAACAGGAACAGGCCACTTTTTGCTTTAGTTTTCTCGCTCTACCTCCGCACAGTGCAGCAGAGCGTGGCTCGCTGTACGGGAGGGTTTGGAACTGGGAGGGATCGCCTCTTACTTTAACTCAGCCTGAAAGGTGCCCGGTTTTGGTAAAAGGTAGCTCAAGGTAGAAGGGGACCCAGCGGTCCCTCCCTCACTTCTCACACTCGTCCTTTGTGGAGCCAGGCCTGGCTCTCCTCGTGGGACGTCGTAAATTTTCATTGAGATTCCTGAAAAATCACGTGCAGCTGCTTAGCAGGAACTAGTGGGGGACCCATTCCAGGGGCCGCCCGGTGCCGGCCTGGCTGGGTGCCGGCTCGCCTCCTCCCCGGAAGCGGGGAGGGGCCCCTGGTGGACCTGGTGCCAGAGCCGGCCTAGGGTCCCACACTCCTGACCCCAAGCAGGACCTGAGGCCGGCTGCATGGCGCTGGCCGCTGCTTCGAGCTTCTGGAGACGTGCTTTCTCCAGCGTATCGTTTTGTTGCCTCTGTGGTGTTCGGGTTCTCTGCCCTCGCCCCGTCCTTCAGTTAACCGCCGACTCTAGCCCTTCCTTTTGTCGCACATACGCAATGACTCTCATTTCACTTTTGTAGTTTATTTTAACTCTTTGTATCACGACATGAAGTTAGTCGTATATATGGACACAGGCTTGGGAGGATGGGTCCTGCGTCCTTCACTGTAACATGTTTTCTTCACAAATAAAATTCTTGAAGCAGTTTCCTTGTCTAAACTTGGGAAGCAGTTTTGCACTTCAGTTCCTTCCCTTTGCTCCTTTAATCCCAAAAAGAGATCCCTAAGTTTTTTTTTTTTAAGATTTATTTGAGAGGCACAGTGTGGGTGTGGGGGGGGAGGGGCAGAGGGGGAGAGACTCGCTAGCAGCCTCCCCCCCCCGCCCCCCCCGGCCCGAGCGCAGAGCCCCACGAAAGGGGCAGATCCCGTGACCCTGAGATCATGACCGGAGCTGAAATCAGGAGCCGGACGCTCAACTGACGGAGCCCCCCAGGCGCCCCCCAAGTGTTTACTTCTTGATCACTGTTGCTTTGCACTGGGGAGGACCCTTTAGCCACAGGCTGGGGCGGGACGTGTGATGGGGAGACTCTGGCACAGGGGCCCCTCCTCCCTGGTCGGCCAGGGTGCAGGGCACAGCCCGGGTATGGCCCAGCATGTGCCGAGCCCAGGCTTGGAGGGCCCTGCGTCCACGTTCTGTCCTCAGTCTTGTGCAGAATGACAGCCGACTCGGGAGGAGCCTGGGACGCTTCTGCTCAGTGCAGCTCTAGAGCCTTCAGCTTAAGTTGCTGCTTCTGGCGCCTGGGGGTGGGGGGTGGCGGGTGGCGAGGCACGGCGGTGTACTGGAGAGAGGCACTGGATATAAAATAGCTGCTTTATTTTGTCATTCAGAGGCCTGGCTGACACTGTCACTGAGAGAGAAGCCAACAGAAAGCCTGGAAGGGTTTGGAGTCACTGCCCCCAGCCTGACAGGGCCGTCCACACCTAGGGAGGGGCTGTGAGTGTCTCGGGCCCTCTGGGGCTACAGGCCCTGGGCTGTCCTGGGCTGTGCCCGGGGCGGGGGGTCCCCGGCCCAGGCCTCCTCTCCCCCAGCTCGGGGCGGGGCTGGCTCAGCTACTCGGCCTTGAGTGCGTGGGCTGGAGGCCTCAGATTCCACAGGAGCAGGAGGGGGAGCAGGAAGAGGCCAGAGCACACGGTGAAGCAGACCCTGGCCCCTGCCAGCCAGTACACTGTGGAGAGACAGCCTGAGCCGTGACGCGGGCCCACCCTGTCCCTGCCGCCCCTCAGCCCCAGGATGGCAGCAGCACGGCCCCCCCCCCCCCCCCGTGGGCCAGTAGCCCCCAGGCCTGGCCCGGCCGCCCCGGGGCCCTCACCTGAGGCAGCCACCATGGGTCCCACCGCCCTGGCCAGGGCGCCCAGGCTCCGCAGGGTGCCCATGATCGTGCCCTTCTGCCTGGGCGAGCCTTGGGGGGAGAAGGAGAGGAGGCCATCACGTGCCTGCAGGCCTCCCACCTGGGGGGCCTCCAGCAGCAGAAGGGCGTCTTACCAAAGTTGGCAACCACAGAGGACAAGCAGGGCACCACGACTGCGGCAGCTGGTGGGAGACACCAGGGAGGGCTGTGACCCAGGATTCCTGGCTCCCGGCTCCCTGCTGCTCCCGCCCTGGCCCTGGGAGGACCCACTCACCGAAGGAGTACAGCAGCAACCCCAAGCCCAGCACAGGCAGCGTGAGCCCCCAGCCGATGAGGAGGAAGGCGGGCACGAGCAGCAGGATGGCCTGCGGGGGGGCACAGCAGAGCTCAGGACCCACCCCTGCTGTTTCCACAGGGCTCAGGACACAGCCTGCCCCCCTTACCCACCACTTCCTTGGGGGAGCCCCATACCCGCTTCACAGCTGCAATCTCCCCGCCAGGGCTGATCCTCCGCGCGTAGGCACCCTGCACGGTGGCCATGGTGAGGCCGATGAAGAAAAACATCTTTCCCTGCTGCAGGCTGGGAGCGGGGGAGCTGTGAGTGCCTCGCCCCTGCTCCCCGTGGCCAAACCAGGGAGCCAGGGTGACAGCCGGTTCTCCACGGTCCGCCGAGCCAGGGTGGGAGTCAGCCCTGAAGTCGGGGGGGGGTTAGGCTCGGGAGACGGCAGGGAGTTCCCAGGCCAGGTCCTGCGAGGGGCCTACCTGCTGAACTGGAAGCGCTGATGGGCAAGGAAGCTCAGGGTGTACTCCAGGCCCGAAAACAGGAAGAGGTAGAGGAAATACACCAGGCCCAGGCGGCGAAGGCTCCCAAGTCCTGGGGAGCAGGGGGGAAGGGGCTGACGATAGCTGGGGGAGGCCTGGGCAGCTGGAGGAAGCCATGGTCCCACCCTCGAGAGGGGGGTGGCTCCTTACTGTCTCCAGCAGGTGGGTCCTGGCCGCGGGCCACAGCCGAGAAACGGAGCAGGGCCAGGGGGCTGAGCAGATCCACAGCGGCTCGGAACCCGGGGGTGATGGAGGGTGCCTGGGGCGGGGGCAGGACTGGAGGGGCCTGCCAGGAGGCTGGAGAGGGGCATGACCTGAACCTGCCCTGGCCTCCAGTCCCCCTGCCGGGCCCTAGAGGCCGGGGCACCAGGAGAGGACAGTCCAGCATCCCCTGGCATCCCTGCACGCCCACAGAACTGAGCCCCCAGCCCTGGGACCTCTCATTGGTTTCTTCCCGGGTCCCCCCTTACCCGCTTCTCTGGGGGCAGGGTCTCCGGCAGGAAGCAGAAAATAAACAGCAGGTCGGAGGCAGCGAAGAGCAGGGCGAGCCAGGGTACCGTCTCCGCGGGCAGGGAGGCACCCAGCATGGGGCCCAGGGTGAAGCCCAGGGAGAAGGCCACCCCGATGACTGCCTGGGGAGAAAGCCACCTGAGCCCCGCAGGAAGGCCCAGCCAAGGAATCCCCAGCCGCTCATCCTCCATCACCTGCACGCACCATGCCTCGGCTGCGGGCGGAAGGTGAGCCCAGGTCAGCTACGATGGCCGTGGAGAGGCTGACGTTCCCCTTGCTGATGCCCCCAATCACCCTGGAGGCCAGGAAGGCTGCGAAGCTCCTCGAAGCAGCCCACACGGCATACGAAGTGGCCAGACCTGCCTGCCTCAGAGTGGGATACACAGGGCAGGTATGGTCACCTGAGGCCACGAGGGGCCCAGAGTTGGACCGACCCCACCCAGGTAACACCTTGGGGGCCTGGCCCTGTTCTGGAGCATCAAGGTCCACTTACGTTCCCAATGTTCACACAGGTGGCAGGGGCAGCTCTGGGAAAGCCTGGCTGGGCCACGGGAACCACCACCCGCTCAAGCACCCCACCCAGGGGGCAATGAGGGGCTCACAGCCAACCCCCTTTCTCCCCAGAGGGCTGCCGGGCGGGCGAGAGGAAGCCGCACATTCCCACGCCTCGGGCGCCCTGTACCAGGGACAGCAGCATCACCGGGCGCCTCCCCAGACAGTCCGAGACCGCCCCCGTGAGTGGTGCCAAGAGGAACTGCAGGAAGGAGAAGACCGAGCCAATCAGACCTGGAGGAGACAGAGGTTTTGGTTACCACGACTCAGTCTGTCCCCAAGGGTCTGATCGCGCCGGGTGGGCGCTGCACTCCCAAGCCTTGGGCCTCCGGCTGAGGCGCCCTGACCACCAGTGGACGCTGCACTTGGAGAGGGGCAGACCGTGCCCAGCAGCAGGAGGGCGGGGACAGGGACTGGGGTTGACTGGAGTCCAGACCCGGTCACAGGGCCCAGCACGGGGCGGGTCGCCATACCTCCGAACAGGACGCTGTTGTACCTCTTCTCGGCTGGCATCCTGATCGCTGCGGCAAACCAGTCCACGCCTCGCTGCCACGAGCCATACAGGGGGTCCTGGGGAACACGGAAGTGTGACAAGGGTGGGGGGCGTGGGCAGCCATCGTGGGGGGAGTCGCGCGCCCTGGACAGGGACATGGGGGCGGTCTCACGTGGGCACGGCCGTGGCTCTCCAGCAGCCCTGGCAGCAGGGGCAGGAGCAGAGTGAAGGCCAGGAGGTCCAGCAGGAGGCCGAGGAAGACCACAGTGATCACGCGCGTCTCCTGCGCCGTCTGTTGGCGGATGGGTGGGCGCGGGGTGCAGCTCCCTCCGGCTCCCCAGCCCATGGTCCCGCCTGGCTGAGAGTGTGGCAGGTCTGCATGAGGCCACCTCTGGGTACCTGAGCGCCGGACGCCTACCCTACACAGGGGTCCCTCTGTGCGCCCTCCCCCCGAGCCCGGGTGCAGGAAACTGCGGCTGCGGGGTTGCGCCAAGAAACCGCAGCCACTGATGCCAACCGTCGCCAGGGGCCGGATGGGGGCATCGCGGCCCCGGGCACCATCCCACCCCACGCGGCCACCCCACGTCCTCGTGAGAAGCGGGCGGGGAAACTGAGGCCCCGGCGGCGTCCCTGCGGCCCGAACACGATCCCCTCCCAGGAGCCGGGACCCCGGCCTCCACCCGCCCCCCGGGACCTCGGCCCCCCGATCTCCGCGCCCCCCCCCCCCGCCCCGCCCGGAATCCCAGACCTGGCCCCCACCCGGGACCCCGCCCCGCCCCGGCTCGCCTCCTGGGCGGGGCAGTGGGGCGCGCACTGGGGCTGCCCCGCCCTGCACTTGCCGCGGCCGCGCGCTCGGGTTGGACGGACGGACACGGACACACGGACAGATGGACGGATGCGGAATGGACGGCCCGGCACGCTGCCAGGGGCGGGGCGCACGCCGACCACGCCCCCGCCCCGCCCCGGAAGTGTGGACGAAGGCCGGCTTCCTCTTCCGGCCGGCGGTCGCTGAGTGCGGGCTGGTCTTGGGGAACCGCGGGCTCTCTTCCTGCAGGGCCGTCAGCGCACGCGGGCGCCACAGTCCCTTCCCGCCGTCCAGCCGCACTCGCGGAGCCCAGGTGGTGCGGGGCGCTGCGCCCTGGAGGGCCGAGCGGTGCGGGCCAGCCCCGACCCCCTCCGGCCAGCGGGCGCCTCCGACGTGCCGGCGCGCGGCTGGGACCGCACACACTTGGGCCCCGGGGCAGGTGGGTGAGGGGGTAGGGGGCCCCCCGCTGGCCTCTCCTGCCGCCGGCCTGGCCCCGGGTCGCGGAGGCCCTCACCTCCTCCCTTCCCCCCCCCCCCCCCCGATCTCCCTCCTCACCTCCGCATCTCTGCCCTCCTCCCTCCCACCTCCTGGCTTCCAAGGTTCCTGAGACTGGCCAGCCTTAACCAGAAAGTAACGGGAAGTTTGGTAAATGTGGTTAGGTTTCCATGTTGATGTGTGTCCACAGCCCACCTTGTCAACTTGGCACGCATACCCCCTCTTTACACCATATTAAAATCCCAAATAAAGATCATCGCAGTCACACGCTGCCTGATAGAGGCAAGGAGTCTACCTCTAACCCAAACCAGTCAGCTTTCCCCAAAGGACGGGTCTGGGTCATGTTCATTTTCTTCCAGCTGAGCCATGCCGCCCCTTCAGTAGCCTGTGGCCTCCACGCCTGAGGCTTTGGCCCCGGCCCCGTTAACGTCCTTAGATGCTGGGGGTGCCGGCAGAAGGGCAGAGCTGGGAATACGTACGCAGAATTCATCAGAACTGCTCAGGACAGCCCTCCTCCTGGGCCAGGTGGGTCCCAGCTGGGTTTCATACCTTCTTCCATCATTCTATATACTCCCCTCTGCAAGGGGTGGAGGCAGGGCTGTGACGGACCAGCCGCACAGATGTATTTCCAAGAATTACGTCTGGAGTGGGGTTGGGGAGAGGCTCAGGGTGGGCAGAGTGAGGTATGTTCCAGTGATACGTGATCCAGAGCTGGGGTGTTATGGGCTAGTGGTGGGCACATTCCATCCCCATGGGACTGACGAGCAAGGCCTCCACCCAAAAGCCCAGCACCTGACTTGGTCTCCCTTTCCTGGGGCGGTCGGGCGAGAGTCCTGGGTCCAGGGACTTGGGGAATTAAAGTAGCAACAGCTGTGTAACGGCAAAGGCTGTGTGGGATCAGCAGGCCAGGCCTCCCCAGCCGAGAGTGTGTGACAGGGCCTGTGGATTTGGGGAGCCACACACGAGGCAAGCGGGTCTCCAACGAGCCTAGGGGAGGCTGGCTGAGTGTTCCCGCGTCTCACGCCCAAGCCCAAGGCTAATCTGGGCAAGCACGGCTTGAGTCCCACGCGCCCGCAGGGACACTGGCCCCATGCTCTGCGTCCTGACTTCCAACACCCCCCAACTTGTCTGAGATCAAAGTCCCTGTTCTCCCCACCACCGTCAGGTCACCCTGTCCCTTGGCCCCCACATCCATTCTGGCCAGGCCTCCGATCCCTCTGCAGTCACTGCTATGGCTGGCTGTGTGACCTCAGGGACCCGCTGCTTGGGCACCGGGGCCACCATGCAGGGCCGGTCAGTGCGCCGCAGGCTGTGTGACGTCGGCCTCCAGCGCCAGCCCGGGGAGGGCTGGGCCTCCACGCTGGGCCCCACGTTGCCTGCCTCATCGGATGGTACTGAGCAGAACGCATCCTCACCCTCAGTCCCAAACCTTGTGATTAACGGGGGCGCATCTGCAGGGGATGGAGCAGAAGCCCCCGCTCGCTGGCGAGGCCTGGCTCCCCGGGAGGCCCAGGGGCCGGAGCACAGGGAGGAGCCCGGGCGCACGGGAAGGCGGCCTTTATTACGTTCAGTGCACAGCACCTCCCTGCCCTGTCTGGGAAACTATTTTTTGAACTTTTTCCTCTTCAGAGCCTTCCATTCACCTTCCTGTGTGGCCAGGCTGTTAAAAAGCTGTTTCACTTTTCGCTTTCTTTCCGCATCCCTTAAAAAAAAAAAAAAAGAAAAAACCCCATTTTTACATCAGCTTTTGCCCTTTTCCCTACATGACCCAGTAGCAGCTCGCATCCATGCGGGCCAGCGCACACGGAGCGGCAGGAAACGCGCCTGCCCAGGCCCCGGGGCCGGCAGTCACTCACGGGGACCCGGCCCGACCCCCCGGCAGCCCCAGCCACCACCGCCGCTCACCGTTCCAGGGTCTCCGAGAGCTGCATTCGAGCCAGGAACTGGTTGTCCCTGCGGATCTCCCGGACGGCTCCTTTAAATTCACGCTTGTGTTTGTGGATCAGTCTCTTTCTCTCCTGCTCCTCCTTGCTGCTTCCCTGCTTCTTCCCGAACTCGAGGCTGAGGAGGAAAGCCAGTGTCAGGTCCAGCCCGCCTGCCTCCCCGCCCCCACCCCCGCCGCCCGACCCCGACACGCACACTCTGACCAGCCGGGGGGTGAAGAGCTTCAGCGGCAGCGGCTTACTCTTCTCACACACCAGCGGCCGGCAGCGCTGCTCGTGCTTTTCCACGTCGGCCAGCGCGCTCCGGCACAGCTCCTGAAACCCGGGGCACGCTGAGGCTGCAGCAGGCTCGCCTGGCATGGGGCCTGGGGCCCAGGGCTGCCTCTGCTAAACGGGGGCACAGCCGAGGGAGCCCCACCGCCGTGCGGACAGGGGTGGGGGGCCTGCGCATGGGACAGCTCACAGCCTTGTGCACCCTTCCCGCTGGCAGGACGACAGACGCCTGAGACCCTTCTAGAAGGTTCCCTGGGCACTTGGGAGTGCTTCGGCATCCAGCAGACACCATGGAATCTCCTTCCCCAGAGAAACTGGTCACAATGGGCCTGAGTGACCCACCCCTATGGACACACACGGGAGCGCCTTCACTGTAGCCCCGGCGGCCGGGGGGAGGGGGCACACCACGGGCACCGAGCAAGACCCCGTGCAGGAGAACGGTCACCTCTCCTAAGTCATCCCACTACCGTCATTTCCCAGGGCTGTTTCTAGAGCTGCACCTCTAGACAAGCTCGCCCACTAGCCTGCTCCCTCTCACAGAGGCGGCCGAGCCTGCGCAGAGGGCCGCATGGTGGGAGGCCTCACCTGGAGCTCCGGGGGGCGACTGCTGTCGGCCAGGTGCTCTGTCAGCAGGGCTCCGAGCGGCCTCACGATGGTCTGGAAGGACGGCAGTGGGCCGTAGAGTAGCATGCAGCGCTTCACCAAGGCCAGACACACGGCCAGGCAGGACAGTCTGCAAGGGGGCAACACCCAGCTTCAGGGCCAGAGGCAGGAAGGGGTCCAGCTCATTCGGTTCGGTCACTGCCAGTGTCCATCCTCTCGGCAAAAACTAAAATGTCCAACCCACAGCTCTGAAAAACCCAACAGGGGCTGGAGTCCACGTCCAGCGTGGCAGTGGGTGGGACAGATGCCCCGTGTCCCTGAGCACAGAGGGTCACTGTGGGAAATGCAGCAGCAACTTGAAAATGAGTGGCTCCACTTTAGTTTTTAAATGACTATCTGCAAAATCAAGCCGACATTATCTTGAAAAATAATACACGTTCTGGGAAAGTTTTTTCTCTTTTCACGGACCTGCCCAGACATTTCCCGGGGAAGACCTGCAGATGGCCAGACGCTCAGCAGCACTCCTCTTCAGGGAAATGCCAATCAAAACCACATGGAGTTAACACCTCTTACCCAGGAGAATGGCTACTGTTAAAAAAATAAATGCTGGGAGGACACGGAGAACCTGGCAGGGATTCAACAGTGGGGGGGGGGTCCTCAAAACCACGAAACCTAAAACTACTGTACGACCCAGCAATTCTGCTTCTGCGTATATACCCAAAAGAATTAACAGAAGGGCCTCAATGAGATGCCGGCACCCCCATGTTCATGGCAGCATCATGCACAGCAGCTGAGACAGGGAAGCACCCCAGTGTCCGTGGACGGGTGGACAGATGGATGAACAAAACGTAGTCCATCCACACGATGGAATGTTATCCAGCCTTAAACAGGAAGGACATTCTGACACCTGCCACCACGTGGATGCACTTGGGAGAACATGATGCTATAAAGTGAAATATGCGAGCCAGAGAGGACAGACACTGTGACCCCACTTCTAGGAGGTCCCCGGAGGAGCCAGATGCTGCAGACAAGGCAGACCGGCAGGGTGGGGCGCCAGGGCTGGGGAGTGAGTGTGTGGTGGGTACACAACTTGTCTTACGAATGGGGACTTCTGGGGGTGAAAGGAGGTGGTGGCTGCACCAGGATGTAAATGTACTGAATTCCACTCAACTGTTGGCCTCACTGATGAAGACGGTAAACTTTCTGTTGTGTATTTTACAACAAAAGGATATTTCAAATCCATACTTTTAAAAAATCAGAGAACAGAAGGAGATCTAATAAAAAGCCCCAGGGCGCCTGGGTGGCTCAGTCGGTTAAGCGACTGCCTTCGGCTCAGGTCATGATCCTGGAGTCCTGGGATCGAGTCCCACATCGGGCTCCCTGCTCAGCAGGGAGTCTGCTTCTCCCTCTCCCGCTCCCCCCTCTTGTGCTCTCTCTCTCTCACTCTCTCTCTCAAATAAATAAATAAAATCTTTAAAAAAAAAAAAATAAATAAAAAGCCCCAGCCCTCCTGTGCACTGAATGTGTGTGTCCCCCCAGTTCACATGCTGAAACCCAATCCCCAGTGTGATGGTGTCTGGAGGG